AAATCCATTTATTTAACTACAAAAACAATCATGTCACCATAAAAAGTCAAAAGACAAAAGACAGATAGAAGAATTTTTTATAATTCATCTCACAAAGAAAAGGCTAATTTATTTAACAGATTTAAAAAATTTATAAATCAGTATAAAAAGATCAACAATCCAAAGGAAAAAGTGAGCAAATTATATGCACAAATAGTTCGGAAGAAGGCTGGGTGCATGGCCTGTGAGGGTAACACCAGCTACTCAAGAGGCTGAATCAGGAAAACCATAAGTTCAAGGCCCACCTGGGAAAAATAGGGAACACAGTGAGAGCATCTCAAAAAAATAAATAAATAATTTAGAAGAAAGGAAGTATATATTATGATAAATGCAAATTTTAAAGATGTTACAATAGTTTTCAAAATATAACAGCACTTGGTTTCTAAGAGTCTGGGGAAATTAGCTCCTCATTTGTTGATTGTGGAGAGTACATTTGTATAACAGCTGTGAAGAGAAATTTGATATTTAAGAATTCTCAGCTTTTTTCTTTTGTATTATTTTGAAAAATTCTTAGGTTCTTTTTATTGGAATATGTTTTTGATGTAACAACTACATTCATTTTGGGGAATTGGTACATATACATATCACATCCTAATCAATTTTACTTCCCCATCAACTCCCCACTCTCTCATCTCCCCCAGTCGCCAGATCCTCTTCCCATTCCACAGTTTACTCCCCTGTTTCCTATCATCTCTTTTATTTTGCTCTTTAAATTATTTATCAAGATAAATATCAAGATATTTATCAAGATTTTAAAGGCACAAGCCAGGCATGGTGATGCACATCTGTAATCAGGAGCCTAAGGTGGGACGATCTCCATGAGTTTGAGGCCAGCCTGGACTACATAGTGAGTGCAAGGCCAGCTTGAACTACATGGTGAAATCCTGTCTCAAAAAAAAAGCACATTACTTTTAACTGAGCAATTTCATTCTTTGACATTGATCTTATAATTACATTTATACATGTATGGAATTATGTATAGATAAAAATATTTTTATAATAGTAAAAGATTGAAAAGATGTAACTATGTACCAATGAGTGGCTAGTAAAACATAATTACATAATGGAAAAATAGGCAGATATGAAAAAGAATAGGGGAAGGGGCCAGGGATTTAGCTCAGTGGTTCTGCTGCCTGCCTCGCAAGCACAAGATCCTGAGTTCGAAGCCCGGTACCAAAAAAAAACCAAAACAAAACAGAGGAACTATAAGGAAAAATCTTCAAGATGTATAAAACTATAGAAAATAACAGGGTGTATAGTAAGCTACCATTTAAGTAAGAGAATGTGTATATATATATGTGTGTGTGTGTGCATTATATGAGGTAAAGAGTATTATCACATTTTTCAGATGAAGAAACTGAAGGTTGGATCAACAAATTAACATTTCAAATATAGCACAGTTAATAAAAAGCACTTAATAATCTAGGAAATCTAACCATGAAATTCCTACTCTTTACTAATCTATTTTTTGACTTTATAATGGAGCAAAAATTATACACATTCAATAGAAATCATACTCTGAGTCTTGAATCTTGCTCTTTTTCCAGGCTTGTGCTATACAGTGATAATCTCTCACATTGCTAGGCAGCTACCACACAACCATGAAAGTAAATAACTGGATACACCATTCTATGTTGAGAACATAGACTATTTGGTAATAGTTGTAGTTTTCCACTGACTTAATCACAGGGCAGAGGGTACTAAATTATGCCCCTGGGGATTCTCCTGTATCCCACATGTACTCGTGACTATCCCCTTATATAGTGCCAACCCAGTTTATTGTTGGTGAACTGCAGCCAGTACAGACCCCCTTCTTTGGTGTGTTGATCCAAAGGCATGAGAGACCAAAGGGCCAGGGAGCAGTCTCGACATGCAATTCAATAAATCACTGTTGTGATCTGCACTAATTCCCCATTTCTGAACAACAAATTACCTCACACCTAGTCACTAAAAACAACAAAGATTGTTTTTTTTAATCTCACAATTTCCATGGGTCAAGAGGAGTCCGGAAACATTAGATGGTTCTCTATTTGGAATCTCTCAAGGTCACAACCAAGGTGTTGGCTGGGCTGACATTTCCTCTGTTTTACTCTGTTCACTATTTTCTCTGCTATGCAGAAGTCTTTTAATTCGGTGGAATCCCCAGCTGTCTAGTTTTGCTTCTATTGACTGTGCTTTTGGAGATGTATCCAAGAAATCATTGCCAGGAACAATGCTTTGGAAATTTTACTGTTTTCTACTGTTGCAGGTCTTACATTTAAATCTATAATGTATTTTGAGTTGATATTTATACTGTATATGGGATCAGATAAGGATCTAATTTCATTCTTCTGTGTGTGGATATCCAGTTTTTTCTGCACCACCTATTGAAGAGTCTGTCTTTTCTCCTTTCTTGTTCTTGGTACTTTAAAAAACTTTTTTTTGTTTTGTTTTTTGTTTTTGATACCTAGAAGAAAAACTCAGCTTTTCCCTGCTGAGTAAGATATTAGCTATGTGTTTGTTATATATGACATTTATTGTGTTGAGGAGCATTCCTTCCATACCAAAATTGTTAAGAGTTTTTATTATTAAAGAATATTAAATTTTGGGCCAGGGATTTAGTTCAGTGGTTCTGCTGCCTGCCTCTCAAGCACAAGGTCCCAAGTTCGTTCCCTGGTACAAAAAAAAAAAATTAAATTTTGTCAAAATTATGTGCCTCTATATATTCAAGTCTTTCTGTCTTTTGGTTATACTTAGTACTGCGTGGTAATCTTTCCTCTTTTTTCTGTTTGTTCGTTTGGTTGATTGGTTGGTTTTGTTTTGTTTTGTTTTTTGGTCAGGAGCCTGCTGTCATGTTGTTTCAGTTTGGACCAGTTATTCTCAGTTTTGGTGCCCTCTGGTTATGCTAGAACTTGCCTTTCACCATTCTTTATTTTCTCTGGTTCTGTCTGGGCCCCGTTTCCTTTGTTTTGCTAGAATATAGCCTCAAATAACTTCCTAAGAATAATGCATTCCGTATAATTTCTGAGTCCTAGTTGTATTAGATACTACAGTAGAAACAGAATCTTATTTTAAAAACAGATAACTTTTTTGAAGGATAATGGGATGATTATAGATTAGAGAAGACTAATGAACTAGGCTTTAAAAGGAAAAAAAAATAGGCAGCTCCAGAGAAGGTTGCAAAAAGTGTTTATGAATCTTCTTTGGGAACTTATCTCAGGAGTGGACCCTCATCCTCATGAGTCTCTCTGTTCGTGATTCCCAATCCAGGAAAGAGACCCTCCTTGTCCGGGTTTAAATCCTATGTTTTTCTCTTGGCTACAGAAAGGCAAAGTACTTCTGTGAAAAGGTCCACCAGAGTATAGGGGGATGGAAATCTCTCTAAAATAGAAAAGTTGTCTAACAGTGGGGAAAAGAATGCTGAGCAGACAAAATGCAACATATGTCCCACATATTTCATATGGGTAACAACGCCTTTATTTTGTTCTCATACTTACTTGAATTCCAGGTAGAAAATAGCTCACTTTTCCTTTTGAACTCTGAAAACATTGCTTTTGGAGGACAGCTCACGGTGCAGGCAGAGCAAAGTGTGCAGCAATCACCACACCAGCTCCTCAGGGGCGGTCAAGCTCGCAATTCCTGGGTGCCCGCTACCCCCTGGCGCCCTCTACCCGCTGGCACCGCGTGGGCCACCTTGTTTCAGCGTCTGCCTCGCGCAGGCCCTCCCGTCGCCAACGCCTGTCCTCATCCCCGCCCAGCGCCCCGCCAAAAATCTTTTTACTCTGAAATTTCATCAGGTGTGAACAGGTGAGATCCCTTTTCACTTTATGTTGTCATTCTGCTGGTCTTCATTCTGTATCTTCCTTTCGGGCTAGGAAAATGTATTTTCTTTGCTCGTTTGTATTTATGACTTTTTCTCTGATACTGTCGTCTTGTTCTGTATTTCATTTTGTTCCCTTAATGGTTTTCATTCCTGTCCTCTATGACCCTTATTATGTTTGTAGTCCAAAGTATTTTTCCTTAGACATCTTGAATTTTAAGCTTTCTAAGATTATTTTGTCTTTTTCACCCATTTCCTGAGCTTAGTCAATGCTCATTTCACTTTCTGTTTTCCTATCTCTGTTCTGAGTTATTTTGAATTTTCTAGTCTAGGTGATTTTTTAAATGTCCAAATCTTTTTTAACATATTCAGGTTAGTGTACTGTGATGTAGTTTTTTTGTTTGTTTGTTTGTTTCACAGTTTGGGGAGTATTGTGCGTGATGTTTTTCAATTAAAACATTTTCATCTGATGACATATTTTGATTCCCATTTTCTATTCTCTAATAGCATAATATGGCACTGTTTGCCATTGTGTATTCATTTTGAAATGTCTTTTTGTTTTCATTTGGTTTGGTTTTGGTTTTATTTTTTGGATGATTTTTTTGACAAACTTCCAGGTCAAGGACAAAATCTAGGTTTAATTTAAAGGCATCCTGGTCCAACATTACAGCTAAGTTTGGTGTTTAAGTAGATGAGCCCTTTCAAGATGAGTTTGGTATGCTTCCGAGTTTGTGGGAAGTCCATTAAAACTAACTGCTTCTTCAACTAATTAGTTTCAAGGAAAGAGAGGAAAGTTTATTGGAAAGTACAGGATTATTCATAGGTTAAAAATCTCCAGGAATACAGACTGGTGCTGCATAACAGTTTGGTCAAAAACAAACCACATACATGACAGTGGTCCCGTAAGATTATAAGGGAGATGAAAAATTCCTGTGGCCTAGTCACTTCACAGTTGTCATAATATCATAATACAACACATTACTGTCATAATGTGTTGTAATGACAGTGTTTATAATGACAGTGATTGTATTAGTCACTTTCCCATCACTGAGACAAAATATCCGGCATCCAAACATGGAGGAGAAGATATTTATTTGCCTCAGGGAAGCTTCAGTGCATGGTTGGCTGCCTCCTAGGGAGAAATAGCATGGTGGAAGGACGTGGTGGAAGACAGTTGCTCACTGAATGGCTGCCAGGAAGCAGAGAGGAGGAGCCAAGGCTAAGAATATATTCTTTCAGGTCACACCCATGTCATGGTCTGCTTCCTCTTACCAGGCTACACCACCAACAGCACATTTACCCATGAGGAGTCCAGCAACCCCTTGGTTCCAATCACCTTCCACAAGCCCCTCTGAAAATGACACTTGTAGGGAGAATTTTAGATCTAAACATAACAATGCTATAAACAAACCTATTGTATTGCCAGTCATACAAAAATATATAGCACATATAATTTCATATAGTATATAATACTTGGTATGATAGTAGAAGACTGTATTACTAGTTTATATATTTACTATATTACAATTTTGTCATAGAAACTTATATTGTGCTCTAAATATATAAGAAATATGTATTATACATTTCTTAGGTGTATATATATATATATATATCTTTGGTATATATTTGTTAGGTAGATATATCATATATTATATAACAAATAATGCATTGTATATTATATAAATATATAATATATGAATA